AAAGAGAGCAGCAGAACCTTCTGGGGGTTCTTCTAATGAGGCTTCACCATCATGATGAATCATCTCCCAAAGGACCCACCTCCATCTCAACATACAGATGTGGGGGGAAGCAGATGCCTATGTAGTCCACAGCAGGGCCACATGCACTCCGATGAGAACCTCTAGAAGCTTCTTCAGCTCATGACACATGGGGAGTTGGCAGTTAACACCCTAACCTCCTCACCCTTCAGTCTGGATAACTCAGCAGTAGTTCTGGACTTCCTCTCAGAGTTCTCCAGTGGGACCAGGCCCGGATGCCTACAGTGGTGGCGGGCTGTCAACAAACCTTTCACTGCTTCCTTCCTTGCTTCCTGTTCCTGCCTCCCTTCCAGTGTCCTTCACCAGGGTTCCTGGTGTCACCCACTGTGGAACATACTTGCATTCAAATCTCCCTCCCAGGGCTTGCTTTTGGGAAAATCGAATGGCGTAAGAGTCATTCCTTTCTACCCAATAATTCCAATTCTGAGTATTTACCCAATGGAAATATGCCTTAAAAAAGAGGGAGGAGTTGTATCCAAAAAGGATATTGCAGCATTTTCATATGATGGGAAAATCTGGAACAATCTAAATATCCAACAAAGATCCATTTAGTCACATTTATTTTTCATCTACCGTGTACCAGGTACCATGCTGAACTTGGGATTCCCAAATAGAACGTCCCACAATTGGATGGGACAAGAGACAAGGCAGGAAGATGATGAAACCTGAACTAAGGCAGTGGCAGTGGGAACAGACTGGAGTGCAGAGAGTTTCCTTAAGGAAGAATCAACAGAAGCAGGTGAACTGTTAGACACAGAAGAGAAAGGATGGGGAGACAGTGAGGGTGATGGGAAGCATGTTGGTGGGACAATTACTGCTTAGGAGACAATTAGGAGGTATTTTTATGACCACTGAAATTTGAGAAGAAGGAGCAATGTCTACAAAGTCCATGTCTACCTGAGTCCAGGTTTCCAGCTTCAGGGAATGGGAGACAGGAGACAGAAAGTAGGTAGAAAACCAGGTCTCAACACTAAGGTCTTTTCATTTATTTACTTATTTTTAGCTGTGCTGGGTCTTTGTTGCTGTGCAGGCTTTTCTCTAGTTGTGGTGCAAGCGCTTCTCCTTGTGCTGGCTTCTCTTGTGGAGCATGGGCTCTAGGTGCACAGCCTCAGTAGTTGCAGCTCCTGGGCTAATAAGGAACTCTAGAGCACAAGATCAGGGGTTCTGTGGCACGGGTTTAGTTCTGGCAGCACGTGGGATCTTCCTGGATTAGGGATCAAACCCATGTCTTCTGCATTGGCAGGCAGATTCTTTACCACTGAGCCACCAAGGAAGCCCAAAAATAAGGTCTTGAATCCAGATTTGACTGAGTTTGAAAAGCTTTACCAGATGGTTTTTGTTTAATCGATAAGTTGTGTCTGACTCTTTTGTGACCCTTTGGACTGTAGCCGGCCAGGCTCCTCTGTCCATGTAATTTTCCAGGCAAGAATATTGGAGTGGGTTGCTTTTTCCTTCTCCAGAGGATCTTCTGATCCAGGGATTGAACTTGCGTCTTCTGCACTGTAGGTGGGTTCTTCACCACTGAGCCACCAGGCTGCTTTAAAATTATTTAACATCTGTAGACCCTCAAGCCGCTTCACTATACAAGTCTGGCTCCTGGACTCCTGTCTACAAGAAGTTTCATTCAAAAGAAATGAAAATCCAACTGCATAAGCTTTGAAAAATACTTTAGATCTTTCTTATCAGTTTTCTTCCAGGAGTTTTCACAGGATAGACCCCAGAAACATTCCCTGAAATCCTTTGTAGACATTGCTCCTTCTCAAATTTGGGTGGTCATAAAAATGCCTCCTAATTGTCTCCTAAGCAGTAATTGTCCCACCACTGTGCTTCCCTCTGTGCTCACTTCCTCCTCTGCCCTCTGCACCCGCCATGTGTCTCACCACTGAAGATGCCATTAGAACCAGCAGCCAGTGGAGGCCACGCTGAGCCTCTCTAGGGAGGCTGAGGGTCCAGGGCAAGCTGTCTCCTCCATGGAATGAGGTAGATGGAACCATGTAGGGAATGTAGCTCATCTCTGTTCATTTTGTTGCTCACCGTTGATGCAGATGCTGCTGGTGTGAGAACTACTTGCTGCCTTAGAGTCCTAGCTGCACGCAGCAAATGAGGGCAAACCCACAGAGGGCAAGCACTGCACCCCCAGCCAGTGTTTGCCAGAGTTCCTGAGGGACCATGTGGATCTGGTGACAAGAACTGCTGCTGTGAGGTCAAGATTTGATGAGCTGTTTGACCCCAAAAGCCATGGGGAATCCAGGAGATATTATGCCTTTAATTTAGTCAGTTTGAAGGATGGAACTTCAGAAACCAGGACACTTACATTGTGGGGCATTTCTGGAGGGAGAGTGTATGTATTCCTCAGTTATATTCTGTAAGGGCTTATTGGCTGCTTAATGTTCTGTGTTACAGTTTCTTCTTGGTCCAACAGCTTGCTGGTTTTCTCTGACCAGTGTTTTCATTATCTTACTTGTGTAAGGACACTTTAAAATACCCAAGTATTTTAGACCTTTCAGGTAGTTCTTTACCACTGAGCCACCAGGTTGCTTCAGCATTGTTTAACATCTGTGGACCCTCAAGTCACTTCACCATACAAGTCAGGCTCCTGGACTCCTGAAAATCCCCTGGAGGAGAGCATGGCAACCCACTCCAGCATTCTAGCCTGGAGAATCTCCGTGAACAGAGGAGCCTGGAGGGCTACAGTCCATGGGGTTGCAAAGACAGGACTGAGCAACTAAATGTCAACGTCAAGGACGCTTTAAAATAATGAAGTATTTCAAACCTCTCAGGTAGCTCTGTTCCACAGAATTTCGATGGTTTGTGTGCTCTGCAGTCCTTTAGCCACTAGCCTGTGTGGCTACTGAGATTTGAAATGTGGCTAATTCAACTGAGAAACTGAATTCTCAATTTCTGCTAAAGAAAAAATGTATGCCTGTCATTTGTAGAAGATGATGAGGTAAAAGGAAGACTTTATTCCAGCTGTGTGTGGGGGGACTACTGTGACAGGTATAGGGGCCACTGCAATGGGTCTTGTAGTGGGGGAGGGATGGGGTTCAACTCCAAATTCTGAATAGGAACTGGGAATTTACAGTCAAGCGGGGTGTCAGTAGATGGAAAATTACTAAGAGGTGTTAAAAAACAAAATTCAACTGAGTAAAATTTAAAGATTTTATTGGCTTTATTAAATGATTCATGTATTGGGCAGATGCACAGAAGCTCCAAGGAGCTACCCAAAATAAATGACTTACAGGCAGAAGGGAGCTGGAACAAGGGAGTTATTCCAGGCAGAGAAGCAACTGGTTACTACAAGGTCGAGGGAAGTCTATCTAGCAGATCACCTGCCTAGTGGTGATTAGTGAATCTTGATTTACTCCTTTAAATCCCATTTCTGGGAAAGCTAAAACTATCATCAAATCTAGATTGGGGACATGGGGCTTTCCATCAACTTCCTTTTGGGCCTGTAGTCCTGTTTTTAACAGAGGCAGCACAGGGGGTTCTGGGTGAGCCGATCTAATAGGATTCTAGGTAAAGGCAGGGCTGGGAGATCAGATGTCACTCAGCGGATGCAAAGATGAGGAACCTGATTAAATAACAAGAGTGATCAGATACTGAGAATGGGGGCTTCTGGCTAACTGACTCAGCAGGATTCTTGCAAAAATTTGCCAATGCAGAGAAACAGGAAAGTCCAAAACTCAAGACCTAGCTGAAAAAGAGCTCAGAGACTCTTGAATAGAGTTTGGTCAAGAAGAGAATCTTTGCTATTTCATTTAATTTTAATTAAAGTTTAAATTTCAGTGTTGGACAGCACAGCTAAATTTTTCTAACACATCACATTTCTACTGAAGATGATAAGCTATTCTAAGAACACAAGTTTCCCTATAATGAATTATCTTACTGTAAAGGGAAATGATTTCCATAATCAGCATGTTTGTTTGTTATCAGATGATTTGTTCTTTTTACAGGTAACAAAAATCTGTATAGTCAAAGCTACGGTTTTTCCAGTAGTCATGTACTGATGAGAGAGCTGAACAATAAAAAAGGCTGAGCGCTGAAGAACTGACACCTTCTAACTGTGGTGCTTGAGAAGACTCTTAAGAGTCCCCTGGACTGCAAGAAGATCAAACAAGTCAATCCTAAAGGAAATCAACCCTGAATATTCATTGGAAGGGCTGATGCTGAAGCTCCAATACTTTGGCCACCTGATGAGAAGAGCCCTCATTGAAAAAGACCCTGACACTGGGAGAGACTGAAGCAAGCCAGAAGAGGACAGAGGATGAGATGGTTGGATGGCATCACTGACTCGATGGACTGAGTTTTAGAAAACTCTGGGATATGGGGAAGAACAGGGAAGCCTGGCGTTCTGCAGTCCATGGGTCGTAAGAAGCCGGAGACGACTGAGCGACTGAACAACAAAGGTAACACTAAATTTTAAGCTGTATAACGTTTACTTAGCAAGCTGTCGTCTCCAATCTCCAGGACGTTGTCTCTGCTAGTGCAACAGCGGTTTATTTGGCACAAAACCCGCGGGCGGCCAGGCGCAGGAATCAGTCCCGGTTTACATTATCCTAGAGAAGAAAGTGGGGCACATGCCGCTAAACTGACCTAGATGATGTTCAAAATAAAATTCAAACCCCAGGGCGCTCAACGGGCAACTCTCCCTGAAGCCCAGCCTCCCCGCTCCGCCCGGCCCCGCCCCCTCCACCTGGACACCGCCTGGACCACGCCTCCCGCGGCGCCCCGCCCCGCGCAGCGCAGACGGCGCGCTGACGTCACGCACCAGGTACTTTCCCCGCGGCCGGGTCGGCGTGGAGGCGGGGCGGGGCAGGCGTGGAGCGCGCATGCGCGGCAGCGGTTGCGCGCTGCCCGGATCGTGCGGGGCCTGAGCCTCTCCGCCGGCGCAGGCTCCCTCGCGACATCTCGCTCCCGCCGCCATGTCGGCTGCTATCGAACGGGAGTTTGAAGAGTTAGACGCTCAGAATCGCTGGCAGCAGCTGTACCTGGTGAGTGGCGGGCTCGCAGAGCCGCCGCCGTCCCCCTCAGAGGACCGGGCTCGCGCCCGCAGCCGCCCGCCACCTCCCCCGCCTCCCGTTGGGGCGGAAGTGGCGGCGCGCGTGCGCCGCCCGGGGCCGCTGCTCTTCGGCGCTCGGGTGGGGGGGTGGTGGGGAGGCCGCGTGCGCGCAGGCGCAGTGGGCTCCAAGGGGCGGTGCTGGTGGCGGGTGTGGGCGTGGCCGGGACAGGGCAGGGGGCGGCTGAGGGTCGGGGGTCTTGGGAGGGTCGCGGGACCGTGGCTAGGCGGCCGGCTCGCGGCTGCCTGAGCGCCCTCGGCGCGCGGTCGCCCCCTCAGAGCTTTCCGGAAGGAGCTCGGTGAGTCGGGGGAGGCGCCGAGGGGCTGCCGCGACCCCGGGCCGGGCCGGCGGGGTCGGATCTCCGCACGTCGTGAGGCAGCTATGCCGACGCGGGCGCCTGGCGTGATTTCTGGTCTCGGGAGACGTGCCCTGGGACGGTCTCCCGACTCAACCACGGACCTTTCCTGTGCGAGTAGAACTTCGTTTTATGTCTTAACATGATCTAGTTGTCCGCTCCCTCCTGCTAATCATTGCATGTTATTCCCAGGATTACAGTGAGTGGTGTGAGGTAAATGCTGTTCTGGCTCTTCAGGTCGTTCTCTGTACAGTCAGACGACAAAAAGGGCTTTCCTGTAAATCCAGTTGCTCCCGGGTTTTTCCCCTTCCCGTTTAATTAGATGACAGTTCCTCTTGTCATTATGTTCGTAATGTAACGTTTTCTTCTTGAGCACGTTAGCAGGACGTGTAATAAATACCCTGATCCACGTGGGTCATCGTGCGTTAGAATTGGGTACTAACTGCAAAGAATACTGGTAAGGATTTTCCCAGTAATATGAAGTTTTAAATGCAAATTCTCGTAGGAAGCTTTATGTGAGAGGCTGCCAGCTGTGTCTTCTCTAGTTACATTTGTTTCAGGAGAGACGACTATCCCCAGGTTGCAGGCAGTTTATCAGAACCCAGGTTTGAGAAGAGGTGGTGCTTGCTACAGCTTCATTCACCTGGACATTTTGATGAAGCACTTTTGACTTTTTTTGTTTTCATTAGTAAGTATCCTTGAATATTCCATGAGAACTATAATTCATCTCATCAGAAAAATGCATTTATATCCACTAAAAATTGTATTCAGTGGCATGGAGTTCAGGAAACTCTTCATGGACTTCTGCCTAGGAGTCCTTCAGTGGGTTGGTCAAAGCTCTTCATTTTTATTTTTTTTCCTAAGGGAAGGACAAAAGCTTTAGTTAGGTCAGTACAAATCATGCAGGTGGTTTGGAAATGCTGAAGGCCGAGGACAGAATCTTGACAGACAACAGTGTTTAAGGACACAGGTAGAGAAAGGGAAGTTTGCAAAAAGAAAGGCTAGAGAGGAATGGCCTTAGGAGTGGGGTAAATCGGTGGTGGGTGTGGAGGGAGCTGATGGTCAGTAGGCATGTGCTGTGGGGGGCACCAAGGTCACAATCCAAGAGGCCCATTGCGTTAATGGCTCAAAGATCAACAGGTTCCTTAAAAGGAGCAATTTGAGTGGAAAACAGAAGTCAGATGGGGACAGAGCTGGAATGGTGCCTAAAACAAAGCATGAATGTATGACTTCCCTACTGTAAACCTCAGTGGTTTCCTTTTGCTCACTATGTGGACTGGAAACTCCTGCCATGACTCCTGAGACCTGGAAACCCCTGCCACAGCTCCTGAGACCATGGGTCTTGCCTCCCCATGTGTCTTTCTTCCCACTTTTCCACTGGTTTCTTCTGCCCCTTGAAATGTGCTGTCTGTCCTCTTGAGGCCTTTGTAGAGACAGTTCTCTTTGCCTGCCCACAACTTTTCTTTCCCTGTTTCTTCCCACCTTTGCCTAACTGCCTCCTTCTCATCCCTGGATTCTCACTTGCTTGAGGAGGGGGGTGGTTTCCTGGCCCTCCCTGGCAGGGTGGGATCCCCTGGATGTACCCTTAGCCTCCCCTTTCAAGGCCAGGCATTGGCCTTTCCATTAAGCAAACCACTGTTGTTTGAATAGGAAAAAGTGTTTCAGTGGACTTTCTGTTTTGTAGATCACAGCAGTGGGTATGTTGATGATAATGTTTGAGAAGAGTTGTGCTTTTTTTGGCAATACTAATTTGGCTAGGAAAAGAAAGGCTTTGCTCTTGAGCAAAAAAAAAAAAAAAAAGCAAAACTGAATAGAACTAAGAGCTAGACTTGCTTTTAGGACTTTTACTTTATACCTTATCATTCAAAGTCCTGTAAGAAAAGGGAATGTATTATTTTTAGTCTGAAATTCTGGCCACTTACTCCTTTTTACCCTCTCTGAACAGTTGCTTTTACAACATAACTTGTGACATGGGAGGTTTCTGGGAGTGAATGACTGGATTGGAGTTCACTCTTAGTTGCTTGTGTTAACTGCCTCATCAGGCTTCCTGTAGGCTATGCATCTAGTGGGCACTTAATATATGTTTGCTGAACACTGACTCCTACCACATAAGGGTGACTTGATGGGTTACATGATCCGGAAGAAGCGGGGGAGGCTGAAGAGATAGGTTGGAGGTTGAAGAGAGAGAATGGATGAATATTGGAGCCAGAAACCTCAGGAAGCAGAGGCTGATAGGAAGAGGAGCGCAGTGTGGAAAGCCTTGCTGTGAACGGGTGCGACTGGCAGAAGTGAGATTGCTGGAAAGGTCTAATTTGGTCTGAGCGACAAGCTAGTAGCATTAATATAGTCTAAGGTTAATTCTGGCTTTTTGAGAAATGTTCACGATCCCTTTCTGCCTTTCCCTGTTGCTGCTGATTGCCATGTGAATCAGCAGGGGCATTAGAAGGGCAGAGGAAAGGAATGGAATTTTGTGAGCCTTTCGGGGAAGAGAGTAAAACTGTAGGGAAATGGCAAAAGTTAAGTTATGGAGTAATGTTTCTTGTAAGTGGTAGGTCAGGAAGAATTCGGGTAATTAATCAGAGTTTATGGAACTCTTAACTGACTGGTCATTTTTCTTCAATAGAAATTCATGGTTCAAATATTGTCAGAGTAAGAGCAGTTTTTATCATTTGTGAGTCAGCTGATTTTTAGAGGTAAAATATCAAATGAACTCTATTCTTCTAGTACTTACCTTGGCAGCCAGTGTGGAGGAAAAATCACAGCTGTCTTGTTCTAAAACTGTTCCCTTGCAGTGTCTACTCCATGTTCTGCCAGCCTTAATGTAAGTACTCAGGGCTTGCTGCCCTATTAAACTCCTTGATTTCTTTGAGAATCACTTGCTTTTTCACACCTTGGGGTCTTTGTCTGGACATACTGGACAAGTTGGACATACCCTCTGCCTACCTTATTTGTCTGGAAAATGTCTTCAAGACTAGACATCAGTCATTTTGTTTTTGTTTAGTTGCTCAGTCATGTCTGACTCTCTGTGATCCTGTGGCTGTAGCCCACCAGGCCCCTCTGTCCATGGGGTTTTCTAGGCAGGAAAAATGGGTTGCCATTTTCTTCTCCAGGGGATCTTCCATCCTAGGGATTGAACCCAGTCCTAGGGATTGAACCCACGCCTGGAGCATTGACAAGCAGATTCTTTACCACTTCGCCACTGTGGCAAAGCTATTTGCTCCTTCTCTGATTCTGAATGCTGTTTTATTAGCATGTGAATCTCATTGTTTACAACTGTCTGTAGCTCCTTGGGAACTGCCCCATTTTCCTGTGTTTCCCCACCATCTGCCTCTAGCCTAAGGTGTGCTTGATGCTCAGTTAGCATTCACTAAACAAACACACTGCTGTGAGATGTCAGCACCTTGGTTCTTCCAGCCCCTCACTTGCAGCTGAGGTGACCACGTCCAGCACAAGGTTGTGACTGCTGTGGGGTTACCACATCCACTGGGAACTCAGAACCTGTGCTCCTCAGTCTCACTGCAGCCTGCCCTGCTCTGCCAGCATGACAGCCTCTGTTGCGTCCTTTTATGATCTGCTTTGAGACAGCGGCACTGGAAGAATCATGACATTTTCGATGGCAGGAGAGAGTGGGATGTGCTATAATAGGGTGGTCCTTGTGGGACTGGACGCCTTGAAAACCACATCTGGAACCCATGGATCAGACTGGAAAGGGATTTCCAAGTGCCCTGAAACTGCAAACTTGTTTGAATGCCCCCAGGGGATGTGGTTTTCTAGGGGATTCCAGGGCTTTGGTCAGATTCTTAAATGGAACTCTGTGATTCCTCAGAAGGTCAGAACCACCATTTTAAGGAAAAGCAAACAGGAGAATGATGCCCCGGTGAAGGATATAGAACTGGAAACAGTACTGTTTCGCCTTTGACAGGTTCTGTAGGTTGTGTTCATGGTGCTGAGTTGTGTCTGACTTTTTGACCCCATGGACTGTAGCCCGCCAGGCTCCTCTGTCCACGACATTTCCCAGGCAAGAATACCTGGAGTGGGTTGCCATTTCCTCCTCCGGGGATCTTCCCAGCCCCAGGATCTAACCCATATCTTCTGGGTCTCCTGCATTGGCAGGCAGATTTTTTACATTGAGCCACTGGGAAGAAGCCCAGTTCTCTAGGTTACGGATACCTCAAAACATGGAATTCCAGATGGCTGCATTGGCCCTGCCCTTTCTAGCTTGCTCTTGTTCAGGGTATTGACTTTAAACAGAATCTCCTGTAGCCCTTTTTGGTTTCTCCTAGATCATTAGTATCCACAAGAATTTGCTACTTCCTGCTGGAAAACTGTCTCAGTTCTTTTTTTTTTTTTTTAATGTATCTATTGATTTATTTGGCTGCACTGAGTGTTAGTTGTGGCGTACGAACAGTTAGTTGCTGCCTGTGGGATCTAGTTCCTGACCAGGGATTGAACCCGGGCCCCCTGCCTTGGGAGCAACAGAGCCTTGGCCACTAAGGCTGAGGAAGTCCATAGCTCAGCTCTTAGTGTCTCTTCCTGCAGTTCTGATCCCTTGCTTGGTTGCTTTGTTTTCTTACCCTGT